CCACACCCCAGGGCCCCATGTCACACCCCGGGACCCCGTGTCACCTTCCAGGACCCCGTGTGACACCCCGGGACCCCGTGTCACCTCCCAAACCCCCGTGTCCTGTGTGACACCAGGACCCAACCCCCGAGCCCCCCCAGACGGGGGTCCTCGTGTCCCCGTGTCCCCTCGGTGTTCCCCCCGTGTCCCTCGCTGTCCCCTGGGTGCCACCCCCGTGTCCCCCCCGTGTCCCCTCGGTGTCCCCGCGGTGTCCCCTGGGTGCCACCCCCGTGTCCCTCGCTGTCCCCTCGGTGTCCCCCCATGTCCCCTCGGTGTCCCCTGGGTGCCACCCCCGTGTCCCCCCGTGTCCCCGCACTCACCGCGTCCCCCCCGCACAGCCAGAGCCCGTCCGGCCGCTGCCGCGCCAGGCGCCGCCCGCAGCCCCGGGAGGGGCCCGGGAGCACGGCCAGGACCCCCCCCGGGAGCCCCGCGGCCACCAGAGCCTGGGGACACGCGGGGAGGGGGGGTGTCACCGGGGGGGTCCCAGGGTGGTCCCGGGGGTGCACAGAGGGGTCCTGGGGTGTCACGGGTGTCCCCGGGGGGGCACAGGGGCGTCCCGGGGGTCTATGGGGGTTCCCGGGGGGGGTCCCAGCGGGGTCCCGGGAATGCACAGGGATGTCCCGGGGGACACAGGGGTGTCCATGGGGGTCCCCTGGGGGGGTACAGGCGTGTCACGGGTGTCCCCGGGGGGTCCCAGGGGGATCCCGGGGGGTCCCAGAGGGGGCACAGGGGAGTCCCGGGTGTCCTTGGGGGGGTCCCGGGGGTGTCCCAGGGGTCCCAGGGTGGCCACAGGGGTGTCCATGGGGGTCCCCGGGGGGTGCCTGGGGTGTCCCGGGGGGGGTCCCATGAGTGTTCCAGGGGGGTCCCGGGGGGGTCTATGGGAGTCCCGGGGTGTCCCAGGGGCTCCCGGGGGTCTATGGGTGTCCTTGAGGGGTCCCAGGGGGGTCTATGGGGGTTCCGGGGGGTTCCTGGGGGATCCTAGAGGGGTTCCAGGGGGTCCCAGGGGGGGTCCCGGGGGGTCCCCGTTCCGCACCTTCCTCAGCCCCTGTGCGGCGTCGAGGCCGCCAGGGGGCGCCACCACCACCACGGCGTTCCCGAGCGCGAGCGCCGGGGGGAGGAGCTCCAGCGCCGGGGGGCGGGGCCAGCCCCAGGCCACGCCCAGCACGCCCAGCGGCCGCCTCGTCAGCAGGGCCCGCCCCCCGGGCAGCTCCTGCAGCGGGATTGGCCGCGCCGGTAAGAGGCCACGCCCACAACACGAAACCCACACCACGCCCCCTTTGTGGCCACGCCCACCTGCACGGCCCCGCCCAGGCGCTCGGCGCGCGCCGCCCAGCGCAGCAGCGCCCCCTGCAGGCCGGGATCGATGTCGCCGCTGTCGCCGCCCCCGGGGGTCCCGGGACCCCCCNAAGCCCCCCTGGCCCCCTCCCCGAGCAGCCAGGACCCCCCCGAGCCCCCCCAGGGACCCCCACCTCAGGCAGCTCGGTGTCTGCAGCCCCCCAGGCGCTGCCCACCGGGGGCTCGGGCACGTCCAGGGAGTTGAGGCACACCAGGGCCTGGGGCAGCCTGCGGGGGGCAGGGGCAGAGACCCCCGGGGTCAGCCCTGGGCAGGGGCAGAGACCCCCGGGGTCAATGCCCAGAGCCCACCAGGGGCCAAAGCCCATCGGGGCCAGTGTCCAGTGCCCACAAGTCGCTCATGGTCAGCGTCAGGGACCACCGGGGTCAGTCCTGGGCAGCGCCCAGAGCCCACCCGGGGCAGGGTCAGAGCCCCCCAGGGTCCGTGCCATGGCTCGGGCTGTCCCGGGCTGTCCCTGTCCCCTATCCCGGGCTATCCCGGGTTATCCCGGGCTATCCCGGGCTATCCCCCTCACCTCTCAGCGGTGTCCAGCGCCGTGCCCACGTCCTGTGCCCACAGGGACACGGCGCCAGCCCCGGGCAGGGCTGAGGCCACGGCCGCGGCCTCGGGGGGGCCGCGCACCCCCAGCAGCAGCAGCAGCGGCCCCGCGGCCTGGGGGGGCAGGGGGCGCTCAGGGGGGACCCCAAAACCCACCCTGAGCCCCCCCAGACCCCCCCCCGGCACCCACCGGCTCCCGCAGGCAGCGCGAGGTCGGGGTCACCCCCCAAATCAGGGTGGGGGGCACGAAACGCTGCCCCCCCCCGGCAGCGGCGGCAGCGGGGCCCGGGACACCCCGGGGGGGCAAAAAGGGGGTCCCGAGGGGGGGGGAGATGAGGAGAGACCCCCCCAAACTGCCCCCGGGGGTCACCAGAGACCCCCGGAATAACCCTGGAACCCCCAAACCCCTCCAGGAGACCCCAAATTCCCCCCCCAAGG